CATTGTTTTTCTTCTGTATTTCTGTAATCTAGAAGTATGTCATAATACATGGAATGCACTGTTACATATGCTGCATCCCATGGGGAAAAAAAAAAACCCATTGATTATTCACAAGAGTTACACTACTCTCGTGAATTATTAAAATTTGCTAATGAGATGAGAAGCAGCCCCAAACTCCCATCAGACTGCTCTTTCTGCTCCTGCCATAGAGGGGCCTTTTCTGGAAGAGGGGAGAGCTTCGGGGGAGCCAGGCTGGGGTGGGGTGCTGGCTGACGGGGAGAGTCAGTGTGAGGATGGATGGCCCCGGGGGGAGGAGGGCACGCGTGAGTTGAGAAGTAGGATCCATCCATTATATAAAAATAAACAATAAGCAACTTTAGAATCGCGATGCTGTATTTCCTTCTGGGATTCAAATGACTACACAAACCACTTGAGCTTCATTTTTATGGTTTATGAAGCTCAAGGGAATTATATACTCGTAATTTATAGTTGCTGGTTCCACATAGTGTTTATGGCTCCGTATGCTATGTATGATGATATCGTGTGCATGCCTGTACATAGGATTTAATTAATGACCTAGAGATTATCCTTGGCCTGACTTATTGATGTCTGTGTGTTGGAAAATGTGTGCTTCCACGCTGAAAGATAAGAGCGGTTCAGGGCCAAGAACAGTAGCCTTGGAGTTTGGAGTGAAATTTCATGCCGCTTGCAGATTCAGTCTTTGGAATTCTGCATGTATTATGCACCTTTCCAGCTCATCCTCTAAGCTTTTGCAGTAAGTGAAGCAATTAAAAGTTAAATTAGATTCTGAGTCCCTCTGAATCAATTTCTTTCCTATATGTTTTGGAGAGTGCGAAGGACATAAAAGTTACAATTGATATTTTGGGGTTATTCTTTCTTTGAGAAGCAGTGAGTCTTCTCCATTTCCTGGAGTTGGGAGGGAGTCCTGCAGTGGACCCGTGCAAGCATGTCTTTTGGGATTCCGCATGTGAAGAGCAGAGGGAAAGTCAGGAATGCAGGTTGCAATTTTATTAACTTTTTTCTTTAGAGTAGCTCTTGCTAAAACTAGATTTTAGAGTGTTAAAGTGACTTAATTGGATTGACCTCATCAGCGGTTTTCAAACTTTTAAAAATCCGTAGATCTCTTTTTTAAAGAAGGAGCTGTGTAGAATCTGACAGATGAAACAGGTACAAGAGTAGGTGCCCTAGTCCCTCTGGGTAGTTGAGAAGTGGTGTGGCCCAGTGGTTAAAGTATGAACTGTGGTGATAGACTGCTTGGGCTCAGGTCCCAAGTTTTCCCACTAACTGAGATGGGCAAGTTACCTAGCCTCCTTGTACCTCAGTTTCTCCACCTATAAAATGGGGATGATACGAATAAAAGCTGTCTCATGGAGTTGTTGTGAGGATTAAAGAAGGGAGTTGCTATGAGTTAAGTGCTCACTACTGTACTTGCATGTGATACCTCCTATCAGCTGCTGCTCGTATTATTGAACCTACCCAACAGCTCAGTGAAGCAGCTTGAACGCCTCTGAGTTATTCAGATATTTACTGTATACCTACTATGTGCCAGGCACAGGTCTAAGAGCTGGGGAGATGGTGGTGAAAAAAACAAAGTCTGCTTTTCTGGCTCTTAGATTCTGTTGTTCTAACCCATGGGTTGGCAAACGTTTTCTGTAAGAGGCCAGACAGTCAGTGTTTTGGGCTCTGCAGCCCATCCTGTCTCTGTCATCACTGCTTAACCTTGCCATTGTTGCACCAAATAGATATAGATATAGATAGGGGTTCCTGGGTGGCTCAGTCAGTTAAGCGTCTGCCTTCAGCTCAGGTCATGATCCCAGGATCCTGGGATCGAGTCCCACATGGGGCTCCTTGCTCAGCGGAGAGCCTGCTTCTCCCTCTGCCTGCCGCTCTCCCTGCTTGTGCTCTCTGTCTCTCTCTCTCTCACAAATAAATAAAATCTTAAAAAAAAAAAAAGATACAGATATAGATAATACGTAAATGAATGGGCATGGTTGTGTTCTAATAAAACTTTATTTACAAAAACAGGAAGTGGGCTGTATTTGGCATGAGGGCAGAGGTTTGCTTCCCCCTGTTCTAACCTAATCTCTCCTTTTATAAACTAGACAGTTGAGGGCCAGGTCACATAATAGTGGCAAAATCAAAACCAGAACATTGTTTCAGACATCCTATGCAATACTTTTTCCTTTTCACCGTGCTCTCTGGCATACTGGCTTTGTGAGGACCCATTCTTTTCCCTTCCTTTTATCAACTGCACAGTGAGTTGGGTAACAGTGGGGTGACTGAGAGTCTCACCAGTAGATCCCGTGATTTGTTTGCTTTTGTATCTGTCTTCAGAATGGTATATTTGCTCATTCAACAAATATTTATCAGGTGCCTACTATGTACTAGGCACTGTTATAAGACACAGTGGCTGCTGGTTAGCAAAGCAGACAAAGATCCCTGCTCTCTTGGAGCTTACCTTCTAGAGGGGAGGAGAGAGGAAACAACACACAAAATAAATGAATTATCAGATGAGCAGGAGGGTTGAAGGTATAGGAACAGGTCGCGGGGGTTCCGTAGGGTGGTCAGAGCAGGCCTCACCAAGAAGGGCAAATTTGAGCAAAGCCTTGAAGGGGATGAGAACGTTGGCCCAGGGAAACCAGAGCAGTAGCCTTTTGGGCAGAGGGAACTGCTGGAGCAGAGATGGGGGGCCATGTCAAAAGTGTTGAAAGGATGGCAAGTCGGCCACTGTGGCTGGAGAGGAGTGTATGGGGGGCGGGTAACAGGAGACAAGGTGGGGATGGCTGGGGGTGCTTGTGTGCGATGGACAGCCATGCAGCATTCTGAACAGAGGCATGCATTGCTCCAAAAGGACAGGCTCGCTCCCGTCGGCTCTTGGGGAGGGGAGATAGAAGCAGAGGCCGTTGCCTTGATCCAGACAAGAGGTGATGTTGACTCAGGCCACAGTAATAGTGATGGATTGAGGAAGTGAGAGAAGGTCAGATCCTGAATACATATTTTGAAGGTAGCATCAATAGGCATTTGTGATAGATTGAAGGTGGCCTGTGAAGAATGAGAGGAGTTAGGGACGACCCCCCCTTACAGTATTTATAGGATTCCTGGGCCAATCACACAGCGCAAGAACTTTATTTTGTAGATGAGAGAACTGAGGTACAAAGAGGAGTGACTTGTCCAGGTCCCAGCAACAAGCAAGTGGTGGCCCTCCATCTGGGGGGCACGGCTCTATCCCTCTTTTCTATTCTCCATCATTTATCTTCTTGGGTTAATCTTCCTGCTTCCCTGACCATAGAGCGAGGTGCCCCTCTACTCTTTGTGATGTATCCTGTTTTTACCTACCCCGCCATGAGACTTTTCTCTCTGTTTTCTAATGTCCTGCTTACTGTCTGTCTCTACTTGGCTCTTTGAGGGTTCCTAGCATAGTGTTTCACACATAGGAGGTGCTTTATTAATGCTGTATGAAGATAAAACATTTTTCAAACGGTCTTCTCCTAATTTACAGCCATTCTAAAATCTTGTTCTTTTATAGTTTTCTTTCTTTCATTGACTTTCTCTTATGTGTTTTCTTTATTTTTTTCCTTATAGAACCTCTATTTGGATTTGCTTTATGTTTTCTATTTTAAGAGTTTCCCTAGAGCTTGTCACTTTGAAGGGAAAAGTCCTTTGATTTTCATTTTAAATTACATCCCTTAAACAGTAACACATCAGGTAGTAAGGCATTTGATACTTTAAATCTCTCTTTTTACTTTCTTTGGTTCCTCAACAGGTCTCTCGGGGGGGAATACAAGTTCAGAGTGTCTTGAAATCCTGCCAGTAATGTGGTACAGTTGTCGCGGTGTGTATAATACTTGAATGCGTGAAGTGCAGCTGGATAATGCAGGGATTCCCCATGCCCAGAGTGTAATGCATCTGCCTCAACTCGGTCCTCTCTCCTGCCATTATTCTTAGTCAAGCATGTGCTTATAAAAAACCCCAGGTGTCAACAATGTCGGCAACCATGCCCTGACTAAATCTTCTGCGGCTGTAGGTGCATCTGCTGGAAGCATCTTCCAGAACTGTTAGTTGCTGAAATTGCAAATTCACATAACCCTTTGCTTTTAACCAAATTATTGCTCCAAGTCCTGCAAGATATAAACAAGGAAAAGAAAAAAAAAATCAGGTGAGTGTATATAATGGGTAAAATATCTATTAAATACTGGAACCTGAAAGATATTTTTATTCTTTTGTGTATTTTTTTGAGGGATATGTGAGTCTTCTTTTTGTTGTCTCAGTAAAGACTGTGAATAAGCAATAGATTATTGGTTCCGTATTTTTGGTTTTATGACCCATTGTTTATAGTCTCATTCTTTTGAAAACAATGATAAAATGGTAGCTAAAATTTATAGCCTGGCATCATGCTGAGTATTCTACATGCATTCTTTAATTCCTGTAGCAACCCAGCACCATACATCTGAGGTAGATGCTATTATTATTCTTATTACTCCCATTTTACAGATGAGGAATGAAGTTAAGTAACTGGCCCCATGACAGTATCTGTAGAGCCCAGGACATACTTGTTACCACAAATGGTATTTGCATATCTACAGGCTCTGTGATATTGTACTGGCTTATGTTCATTTTTTCCTTATAAATATTTTAAATTATGATCATTTGGAGAATATAGACTATATCTCAGTAAGCTTTAAGGTTAATTTGTGTTTCATTTGGTATATGATATTTTATGAAAATTCCCAACATTTATATAGCATTGTAGCATTTACGAAATGCTTTTACAAATAATTTCTCCTTTAATTTTAGTGCTCTGTAGACACTCCCCCTATTTTCCTAGTGTCATAGACACACGGATCATTTTAAATGTGAAGAAAATCTTCCGTGTACTTCCTGTCCCCTCTTAACTTCCCCCATCCCTCACCTCTCCCCACCTCTATTGCTTTACAATATTCAAAGCAATTTCGTATCTATTACTCCACTTACCCTTCAAGCCAGTCATCTGAGGTAGACGTTATTCTTCCCATTTTGCTGTTGAAGAAGTTGAGCACGAGACAAGTGATTTGACCAGAGATGAGGAGAAGGGAAGTCGGAGAGATTCGAAGTGTGGGCAAGACTTGACCCAGCATCGCTGGCTTTGGAGACGAGGGAGGTCACGGCCAGGGAATATGGGCAGCCTTGAGACGCTGAGGCAAGGAAACAGGGACCTGAGCTCTGCCAACAACCGGAATGAGCCTGGAAATGTGTTCTCCCCTTGCGCCTCCAGAGAGGAATGCAGCCCTGCCAACACCTTCATCCTGCCACGTGCAACACTTCGCAAAGAACCTGCTGAGCCCTGCTGTGCCTGGACTCCTGGCTCATGGAAATCATGAGGTAATACATTGGTTGTTTTCAGCTGCTGAATCTGGGGTAATCTGTGGCAGTGGCAATAGAATACACATTCAGTCACAAAAGTTGTTTAGCGGTGATTCAGGTGATTCCCAGTTCCATACTGTCCCCACTGGTTGCCCAGGACAGCACTCAGCACTGTGGTCTCTAGGGGTGGGAGGTCCGTCAGCCCCAGGCGTGCACAAGAGGATCCATTCAAGTGAAGAAAGAAAACTCAGCTTTTAATCTTCTAGTTTTGCAAAGGTTTTATAGTATAATTAGTGTATTAGTATGGCAGAATAGTTATCGTTCGCATATAGTGTGTTGCCTGCCCAGTTATTTTTTACTGACGGGGTTGCATGATCAAAAAGATTGCATGATAGGTTGCCTGTCATGTGGAACAGTGACCTAGTGGACAGCAGAAGGTGGAGTCCGTCCGCTCTAGTGGAAAGCTCACTAGTGTGTTTGGAGTTGGAACCATCAATTTTATTTTCATCTATGAAGGTAATTAGCCCAGTGACTTTGGCTAAACCACTTAACCTCTGGCTTACATTTCCTCATGGAATCTGAGTTAGGCATCCTGGATGCTCCTTGAGCTTTCTTTGAGAATATGGAGATGCTGCCTTGACACCCAAATCATCTCTGAACTCTCATCTCTTGAACCATGTCTTTGTTCTGATTGAGAGAAGAAGAGAGAAACAAACTACCCCCCAAAAAAAACCCAGAACAAAAAAAAACCCCAAACCTCCAAAAAACAAACAAACAAAAAACCAGGTTTTACAGAGATGGCTGGTTGTTTGGACTAATGGATCATGATGTTTGACTGAACTGATTTAATATAGTGAGCTACTTCTGAGCAGGTATTTTTCTGATTCATTTTTAAAAGTCTTCCAAACCTCTCATCTGGTACTTTGCACCAGATTAATAATAAGATCTTGCGGAATGAACGGGTAGACTTAAAATGGTAAAATGAAAGCATTAAGGTTAAAAAGAAGTGTTAAGGTTAAAAAGAAGCATTAACAGCATAAATTACAGTGATATCTCTTATTTAAGAGATAAATAACTCTTCCGGATAAGTGACTACTTTCATTAGACCACAGGATCTCAAGGGGACTCTGGCAGTACAATTGATTGTTTCTAGGGGTATTCAAAAAAACTCTCAGATTAATCTAGCTGTATGTATACTGTACCTTTTATGCTCCAGATGTCGTTCTAAGTACTTTCTGTATATTAACTCATTTAATGCTCACAATAACCACATTGGTTTGGTACTGATATTACTCCCTTATTACAAGTAGGTAAAGCAAAGCACAGAGAGGTTAAATAACCTCCCCCAGGTCGCATAGCTAATAATCATCTGGGCAGGGATCCAAACCCAGCAGGCTGGCTTCAAGGTCTTTGCCTCTCAGCACTATGCTCTGTTGTGTCTCCATGATAAGAGGTGGGGAAGCAGGCTTAGGAGGACTCTTCTGATTCCTTCGAGCATAAGCATTTCTCAAATCTCTGACTCACCAGGAATAATCAGGACCACCTCCCCTCCTCAAGGACTCTGAGAATGGGACCAGAATAGGAAAGCCCACAGTGGGGTGTTCAGTGTTGCCACAGAGAGGACTAGAGGGGGGATCTTGGCACAAGGAGCCTTCTGGCCTTGGGAAAATTGAACTTTCTGAGTCCTGGTTTTCTCATATTATCAACATGGAACTGACAGTACCTCCTGGATAAGGCTCTTGCTAGGATTAAGTGAAATAATGGGGATAAAGCGTAATGTTTCAGGCACAGAATGTAGCAGGTGCTTAATAAATCTTTGTTGAACTGCACTGCATCCCCATTCTGAGTGGCTCGGGAGCCCAGTGATGTTAAAACACAGGAGAGCAGATATGCAGCATGGCTCTTCCTACACAGCATCTTTGTGGTCTTCGTTGTGTCTTTGTACAAGTACACCGAGGCTAGAACACATGCTTCTCTGTTCTTCACTCAGTTGTTAGTTCCCAGTGGTAGTAATAGTATATTAGGAATGCATTATATTATGGATGTACTTGAAAGTATTCCTTCAGAATTCTAATAGCCACAATGCCCTTGGGGATTGATGAAGCTTAATCAAAAGGCCTGCGTGATTTTTATTCACTTCCCTCACATCTGTGCTTCCTTGAGTCTTCCCCACCTCTGTTGGGGGGACCACTGTTTACCCTTGCATTCTCTTTGCCTCACTTGTTTTGGGAGGATCACTGTTCATCCATGCATTCTGTCTCCCCCGTTTCTGTTGGGAGGACCTCCATATATCCATGTGTTCAGGCTTATCACCCTGGATTTTCCTTGACTTCTCTCTTATTCGCATATCCCACATCCCATCCCTCCGTGGATCCTGTTTGTATTACCTTCACAACCTGTCCTCAGTCTAACCACTTCTCTTCTCTACCAGATGAATCCTGGCCTCTATCACCTCTTGCCTGGATCACTGCAAGAATCTCCTTTAGTCTTGCTTTCTTTCTTGCCCTTCCAGTATACTCTCCATAGGCAGCCAGAGTGATCACGTCACTCCTCTGTGCTCACCTCCAGTGACCTTCTGTCACGTTGACAACACAACCCAGTGTCTGACCGTGGCCTGTGAGATCCCTCATGGTCCTGCCCCAGCTGTCGCTTTGTCTTCATTTCCATCATCTCTTTCCCCTGCTTGCGGCTCTCTGGCCACTGGCCTCCTTCCTTCTGCTCCCGGAGCACTGCAAGTGGCCTCCCACCTTGGGCACTCCCTGTTCACTCTCTCTTCCCTTCTGGAAGACTCTTTCCCCAGAATTCCCTTGGCTTCTGCTTCTTAGTCTTCACATCTCTGCTCAAACTTTTTCTCCTCAGAGAGGCCTTTTCAGTGTTCATTGCTCGCTCTCCCCTAACCCCATTTATTTTCCTTCATATACTTTTTTTTTTTTTTAAACTACATGTTTATTTGCTTTCCTGTTCTCTGTCTAGGATGTATAGGGACTCAACACCTGGAATAATAATTGGCATATATCATGAGTTTATTAAATATTTGGAATAAGTGGATGAGTGAATTATTGAAGAATTAAAAATGAATATAGTAGAAGAAAAAATTGGATATTTCAAAAGGATTTCTTCTGAGAGCAGCAAGGGAGGTAGAAGGCAATCTACCTAGGGGTGATTCCCTCCCCCTGACGGCAAAAGAGAATTTAAGTACTCAGGGAATAAAGTGAGCCGGGGCTGAGGCAGTCCTCCCTACCACTGTGTTTTATACACCTGTTGCCTCTGTGGGGGCCCCCCAGCCTGCTGGTTGGAGGCTTAGGGAAGAGCACCTGCTTGGCCATTACCAAGCAGAGCAGCTGTGCTTTCCTCTCTTCTTCTGTGTTTGGGGTCTCTCTGGGAGTGGGCCTGCAGAAGCCTGTGGGCCTGTTATTCCCTCCCCGGATAGTTCGGCAGGTACCAAGAGCCTATTTGTCCACTTGGGAGTCAGGGTCCTTAAGGAGAAGCTCACTACTTTGGCTGAACAGCAGAGCTGTTCTCAGGGAAGCTCTCCAAGGAGTTTCTGCACAGGCCTCCCAGATAGAGCTGCGATTTGTAGCAGTATTAGGCCTCTTTATATTCCAGTTTCATCTCTACCCATTGATTTTGTCATTTGCAGCTTATAATGGAAATGAGGATAGCCGGTACGGATGGAACAGTTACCAGATGCTTCTCTCTGTCTTGTAGCTGGGGCACTCCTGGGGTATCAGCTGAATGGGCATTTGCTTCCTTAACTCTTCTCTGGGTTTCACCAAGTCAGGGTTGCCTGGAAGGTGGTCATCAATTCTGTAGATGGTTCATATTGTACAGTGTGAAAAGAGATGAAAGAATTAGGAGCAGCCCCCAACATAAAAGCTTAAAGGAGAACATAAGTATATAAGTTGTGACAATTTATACTAATTTTAGGAATACACTTTGCTTAGACAGGATGAAAAATACATTATATTTAGTCAGTTTCCCTCTATGCTATTCTTGGGGGACAATGGGATCTTTATTTTTCTATAGATTGCTTATGATGCTAGTGCCTTATGGAAGGCTGATATTTATTTTGCTTTAAGAAACTAAAGATAGGGGTGCTTGGGTGGCTCAGGTGTCTGCCTTCGGCTTGGGTCATGATCCTGGGGTCCTGGGGTCAGGCTCCCTGTTCCTTGGGGAGTCTGCTTCTCCCTCTCCCTCTGCCCCTTCCCCTGCTCATGTGCGTGCATGCTCTCTCTCTCAAATAAATAAATAAAATCTTAACAAGAAGAAAACTAAAGATATATATGGTGGCATATCACTTGTATGTAGAGGTCAGTCTGGAATACAACTTTGATCTGAAAAAGTAAATGGAAAAGGACTATGAAGATATGAAGCAGAAGACTCATGTCCCTGCATGAAAGCCAGGCCCTGAGTACTTTCTATTCTTGATGTCTATTTAGTACTCTAGTCTCAATATTTTCAGTTGTCTTTCTCCCCCAGCCCAGTTGAGAAGCAGCAAATTGGACGAGGGCAGAGGAGGTTTCAAGTTAAAGTCATCCTAATGGAAGAGAGAAATGACAGCTGACAGCAGGGGAGGTGACAGCAAAACTTAACCAGCAATGCAGGACTGCCGTAGACTAGCCTGAAATTGTTGGGTTTGTCTGCAAGTCCAAGACAGACACAGTGGGGATTGCCTTCAGGCATGACACCCAGGAAGGAGACATTGGAAGGAGGCACTCTTCATTTTTATTATTGCATTTATGATTTCTAGCATTTCCTTTCAACTCTTTCTTAGAGTTTCTGTCTCTTTTCTTACATTACCCACGTGTTCTGGCCTTGAACTGATTTTGCCTATCCATCTACTTTCCCCATTAGAATCCTTTATATATTAATCATAGTTATTTTCAACTCCCTGTATGATAATTCCAACTTCTGTGTCATATCTGAGTCTGGTTCTGATGATGGTTTTTTTTCTCCTCATACTGTGTTTTTTCTTGCTTTTTGTCAGACCTTGCAGTTTTTTGTTGAAAGCTGGGCAT